CGAAAGTTCAAACCCATCAGCAAGGAGATGACGCCAAGTCACCGGAGTGACCTACTGACAGATGCACTGCTCCACTATAGCAGGAGGAAGGCTGAAGATATGCGTAAGTTATGATTGAATTTGGTCACAAGTGTGTAGGGTATAATGAATTATTGTAATCGTAAAACCTAATTTTACATTGCACAATATTATCCATCAATATCAGCAATATTCATTTATACATTCTTCCCTAATGACATCATTAACTGGGCAAGTGAAAATACCCTTAACAATCTTCATTTTTCCCTTTGTTACTACAGATGTCAGTTTAGCAATGTCTTATGACAAGGCAGTTACGACTTATCAGCTGGCCAAGGATGACCTGGCAAAGATTTTGAACCAGGTACCAGGTAAGACATACAGGTTTTCCCAGTCTTCTACTCACAAAAGTAACCCTTTTTTTCATGCTATGGTATCAGAAGTACCTGAGAGTTCCTTTGTCAAGGCACCAATTTAATTTGTTGGTTCTCGGATTCGCCTCTTCGTTTTTTTCTGATTTGCAAAAAAAAAAATATATGATTCTGGTTCTGAATCAACTGAAAAATGCTCATGTTTTGCCCCCAACAGTTGAGGATAGTCCTTTTCTTCCTAGTTGTTACAGTTTTCCCATCTATCATTGCAGTGGTTTGATTAAATGTTCAAAATTCAATGTTTAAATTTTAACCCAGCCTTTTGTGTTGACTTCATGGCTCATTTCGTAGCACTTAAGCCTATAATAGGATGCCTAGACCTGTTTTTATTTTTTTTCGCCCTGTCGCTTCATATTTTTTCTGAAAAAATCCGAGAACCAACAAATTAAATTGGTGTGGCCCAAAGGTTAGCTACTTTGCACTTTGAAATGTGTACAAATAGAAATTTGAAGATAATTTAATTTCTTGGTTAACGGATTTTTCTAGAAAAATAATGGAGCAGGCAGGCGGAAAAAAAAATTAAAAAAAAAACAGGCCTAGGCATCCTATTATTGCCCAAAATGGTACGATAGGAGCCATGAAGTCAACACACCAGGCTGGTTCAAAATTTAAACAATGAATTTTGAACTTTTAATGATACCATTGCATTGAAAGATGGAATAACTGTAACAACTAGGATGAAAAGGACTGTTTTCAACTGTTCAGGGCACAATATGAGCATTTTGCAGTTGATTCTGGGTTTTTATTTTTATTTGCAAATCAGAAAAAAATGAAGCGGCGAATCCGTTAACC